ATACAATCTCAAACAGGTTTAAGAATGGATATGATTCAATAAACAATTATTTCAATCTGCAAGCTTGAAATCAAGTATGTGTGTGCATACTTGACCCTGGTCTTTCGACTATTCCCCGTTGACACTTGTTCTCGAAGGATAGGGACTTCGTCGATTTCACGGCAGTTCAAGCATTGGTCAGGCAACATGCTCATGTTTATAGTTTCGGCTGTGCTATAGGAATAACAAAGGTGAGTTGTGCATTGCTGAGTCAAAACAGAACTCTCAGGTCTAAAAGGCTCCTTAAAAATGCACTAAATCTGGTTTTGACTTCATAATTACATGACTCGAACATAAACTACTCACTTCAGCAAGTCTAAGAATTCACAAATAATCTGTGAACATGTATTCTGCTTTTATCTTCATTCACTTATGAAACTGATTGCGTATATAAAATATGCAATCAGTCTTGCACACCTCCCCATTGCGAGAAGGAAAAGGGAGATTCGTTGGCTTTTTTTTTCTCGCCGGAAAGCAGAAAAAGAAAAGGAACAGGTTTCAATGTGCACATTACGTTGAAGTGGGACAGTTACGGAAACAAATTCTGCATCTTCAATATTCATGAAGTAGGCAGATTACTTTCAAGTCATAAGAGGATAAAGTCAGAAACAACTTCAGCTCGCCTTCAATCAAATTTTCCCTTTAGATCCAGGGACGTTTCACCTTCATAAGGTCATCAGTACCAATTGGCATCCATTCAGGACTGTAATGGTAGATGTACAAGCTTGACCTCAAGGTCGCAGTGCCCTCCTTTCATCTGCTTGCAGTGCGACCCCTCGTGCACTTGGTCCCAGATGGTGAAGCTGGTGCTGGACAGGATGTCGTCCCCTGTAAAAGAGTCGTCCCAGTAGTCAAACGATCCGGTTACACTCTTGAGCAGCGTATTTGTCCTCCCATGCCATTACCAACTGAAAATCAGTGAAACCCTATTTTTTAAGCAGCAGAATGCATAAATGGACATGTCTATTCCATTCCCTTCGTACCGAATACCTGCCAGCATCCAAGGGATGCAAATCAAAATAAATAACATTGCATTATTTGCTCTTTTGAGACTCCTTGAACTTAAACCAACTTAAACACTACCACAATTTTAAAGCTGGGAACTTCGAGGACACCTCTCCATATACCGAGATTACATGCTTGTCCCACTCCTGGCTTGTCCTCAGCAGGGTTGGCCAGCGTGTCCTCATACTCCTGGGTTTTTAGTCTTGGAAGTTAAAGCTTTGGTTTTTGTCATTGCTTGGTTGCTGGTAGATGCTTGAGGAAGCTTGTACTGTTACTTTGAAACATCAAGTTTACAAATTGAACACTAACCCGTATTGATGGTTGGATACAGAAGCTAGATTTGTCATGTCAAGGAGGTTGTCATAAAACAGTGGGCACGGGACTGAAATTAGCGGCGGAGTGAGCGACCGAGGTGCATTCGGGAGTATCAAAGAAGACGAGGTGTGTGAGTTTTGCGCGAAAGCAGGACGATCGGCCAGAGATGTGAGAATGTGGCGTCGAGAGAACTTGAAACGGGCTAACTGCATGACTGTTATCTGAGCTACATTAACCAGAGGAGAAGAGAGAGTAACAAGTGAACAACACTCTATGGCCAAAGAGGTAATTGACCAGGTTATTTCACCCAAGCATCACAGTAGTCATTTCAACGACCAAAAAAAATACATCCAAACATCAGCACAGCAATAACAGCAGCGAGCCAAGGAATCGGGTTGTGTGTATGTTTATACAGTCTCAAACTTGATCTGCCTCAACGGGCGATGAGTCTCCCAGCTGTAGATGACCGCTAGCCTGGGGCCCTTAACGTGCATCACGTAGCAGTGATACACGACCGCACGCCAATACAGTGCTCATCCAGATCGAAACGGGCAAATGTGGGGATTGAACACACGATTCTGGGTTCTGCAGCGCGAGCTTTCACTCCACATTCTCCGAGCTGGTGCGTGCAAGCCCCCTCGGCCACCAATCCCACAGTGCCAGGGAATAACATATAATAAATGACAATGGTACAGTGGTCTGCAACAGGTAGCTTTTCAGTGCCTTGAGAAACCAGGTTGAGATCACGTGACACTTTCCTGCCATATATGGCTTGCAAAATAGAGATGCATAAGTCATAAAGCAAGTAATAATTTGATTTTGTTTTTACTAAAGACATCAGCATCTGTATTTGGCTTCCACAACTTCTGAAAGCTACCTCTGAGTGCATAGAGTGGTTTCTTTCATAATCTTACCTCCATGGAGAATTTCCCAGCTGGTAACGGGGCCGTGAAACGCAGACCCCCTGAAGTCGCACAGGCTCCGAGGGCATTACACAGGGCCCGCAACATGTCCTCCGAGCAGAGGGCCCTTTCAGTAGCCCGGCAGTTGGTGGATTCTGTTGGAATGATAGGGTAGGGGGAACACAAGCATTTGCAGGTTAACGGACCTAAGAAAACTAGTAGGCAGGTACGAAAACATGCTACTCGCCCCCGCAGCGTTTGCCTCACTGGCACTTTATGGTGAAACAAATCAGCAGCGAGCGACTGATGGAACACGCGTCAGAAGAACAGTTCGTCTTGAGTTTAACACCCTAGGACGGCGCTTTATCGCGCGCGTAAAGCATTAGCGTAGCCAGGTTTTCTTGGGGCCGGGGGGATTTCGGGTGCGAAGTACTGAACACCCCCTCCCTGGCTACGCCACTGGCAAGAAGTGACATCGGATGTCACTTAGACACGGCGCTATCACTGCTAAAATAGACTACCATCGAACACCGAGTCGTGACTGCAAAGTTAATGACCCACATACAGATATCCTACCACACTATCTGTTTGGACAAGTGGCATACAATCTGTCGCTGGGGGGAAAGACTAAGAACAGACAACTGCGCACTCGGCTCGGTCGTACCACACCGATCGCCTAATCCGCTGCTTTTTCGTAACATTCCGTTTTACTTTGCTACACTCCTTTCACGTGCAACTGTTTGTGAATGATGCGAACTGTACAGAAACGACGTAACTCACCTCAGCGAGCGCCATGGCGCGGTTCTCCGGGTTCCAGCGCTGCGGGAGATCGGCCTTCGAAAGCTCGGCAGCCCGTTCAGCTCGCCGAAGAGGGCTGTAGCTACACTTCGGTGCTTCACGGAGACACCGAGACACTTGCTGGCGAAAAGGGGTCTCCGCCAAAAAGTAGAAAGGCTCACTCGCGTCGCACATCACCGTGCTGACGTTGGGGGGGCTCACATCAACATCTCACCGCCGAAGACCGGGACGCATATTGGTGCTTCGTATGCTCCCAGGGTAAATTCTTTCGCGTCAAACGAAGTAACGTACATTTCGAGGTATTTCCGGTCTCTTTTTTCCGTATGCCGCGTCTTCGTTCAAGCACTAGCAGTGGATTTCCGAGAGCCACAGAAAAGGCCTTCCGCAATGGCTGCGGAGAAAAGACGACACCGCTTTGTTTACCCCCGAGCTCCCGCCCGGAGCCATCCTCCAATCAGAGCGCGGCGAGGTGACGTCACGCCACCGGCCTGCGCGAAAGAGCAGACGGCTTTCCCTCCGTATAAGCCTGGAAACAAAGCGTCATTTTCCTTTCCCAAAGCATCACCCCCCCCCACACACACACACACAAGCCAACCGGGCGCCGGCGCAGAGCGTAACCGGTGGCTGCGTTCCGAGAACAACCAATGGCTGCGCTCCGCGTCGGTGCCCAATTGGCCTTGGCCACCCGCAGCTCCGGTTGTACTGCCACAGAAAGTTGTCCCGGAGCCGCGCGCGCGCACGCACAAACTCGAAGGTCATTGAGATTGTTCGTGCGCGCGCTTTCCGCGGCAACGGTCGCGCCCGCGGAGAGAGCCTTTTTATGGTTTTCGCTTTTGTCATCTTATTTTTGCTTTTGTACTGGGTTTGTTTTAGGCGTCGGTTAAAGGCCGCTGGTTTGCTTGGTTCCGAAGTCGAAAAGGAAGTGAGGACCCGCTTTCCTTTCGGCTTTCGTCACCTTTGCTCGGTCACTGTGGCTTCTTGCGATTTTTCTTTTTTTTGATGATTCTCTTTTTTTATTTTTTTCCGTTCACGTTGGACCGAAGGCTGCAGCGGTCGTGGCTTCGAATTGCGCTTGCTCAGAGGAGGCGGAAACGAGCTACTTGCGAAGCAGTGGATTTTGCTCGACAGTAAAATGAGTCGCAAGTAAGATACCAACTCGAGATTTGAGTTCAGTTAATTTCCTAAAAAATATCGCATTTTTAAACTTTTTCGAAACTTTTTGAGCTCGGTACCCGAGTCATGGCCCACCCCACAATTTTTGAGAATTTCAGGCGGTGGGGGGGGGGATGACTCGGGATATTACGGTACATGCACGAACTGAAGGTCTGTACCATGTGTGACGTCACACCACTGAAGAGCACACGAAAATTTGAATGCTGGTTTCGGCATTACCTTCATTTACGGTTTTCTCAATTGCTATTTTGAATTTCGTGAAAATAAATAGCATACCATGACGACTGAAGTCCGGGTAGTCAGAAAATGCAATTTGTTTAGGTAGCTCAAAAAACGGCCGGAGTACCCCTTTAAGGACTAGAAATCCATTGGGGTCTCCCCGCACAAGTTCGAATCCTGTCGACTGCGCAAATATTTTTTCTTTTTTTAAGAAGACAGATGGGATGGCAATCGATGTGAGCACGGATGCCGGACGGACAATGCTAGACCCTTAGGAGCTTCGCCCCTCAAAAGGATGATCGACCTCACCAATATATAGTCAGTGACAAGTTGAGAACCCAGCAGATGCTCCAACCCAAGCGCAAGCTTTCTGCCCTTGATAACACCTCCGTCATACGCATAGCCAGAGCCCGGCAGAAAGCAAAGAGCACGTGCTGGTTGCTGGGTGTCTGCCAAGTTCTTAACCTGCTACTGACTAAGGTTCTGCACAATGGTACAATGACTGACAAATGGTGTTTGTTTCTCGTAGGCCTAGTTCCCACCACTCACCGTTGTAGCTGCCCCTGCCAGAGTAGCCGCCTCGAGCTCCGGTTCCCCTGAACGGCTGCTGGAAGTCCCTGAAATGACGTGCGTCTGCTAAGCATCCAGTGGGCCACCCAAACCCCTCTTCATCTCGAGGAACACTTGGCTGCCTCGAGTGGAAGCAAAAGAACATGCCCCTCCACTCCTCTAGACTGCCTGGAACCTCAAGAAAAATGTATCTTAATTTTACATGCACATTTTGAGCTGCGTTGTGTGGTTGTTTATTTGTCTATTTATTTATGGAGTTCCTATTACGCCTTGAGAGCATTACTGCAGGGGGTACAGAAAAAAAAACAAAAAGGAGATTAGCATTCTTTTGTAAGTTTATAAGATTTCTTGAGCTCAGTTCGGCGAAATTGAAATGAAGCAAGGAAATCGACTAAATTTAGCATGTTACATTTTTGCACTACAAACTTTTTGGGACATTTTGTTTTTATGAAACCTTAGCCCTAAACACGGTCTGTGCAAAAAGCAAGTTGTGTGCACAGCGCATCCACGGCACAAAGTAGTTTTTGCGATTCAATTGCCAGAGAGAGAGAAAGGAAAAAAAATGTAGAGCCCCTTCACTTCGCGTGAAGATGGAGGATCAGCGAAGTTGTTATCTTTGTGACGTCTAGGACGATGTCTAGAGGACAACGTCTAGGACAACCTCAAGAACGTTTTCTAGGGTGACCTCAAAGACGACTTCTAGGACGATATCAAGGACGACTTCCAGGAAGACCTCGAGGACCACGCCTAGGGCGACGTCTAGGACGACCTCAAGGACAACTTCTAGGACGACCTCGAGGACGTCTAGGATGACCTCCAGAACGACTTCTAGGACGACCTCAAGAACGACTTCTACGACAACCTAGTGAACAATGTCTAAAACAACCTCAAGGGTGACTTCTAGGACGACCTCGAGGACAACCTCTCGGGCGACGTCTAGGACGACCTCAAGGACGACTTCTAAAATTCAGCCTTTCCACTCTGGTGAAAACCAGAGTGGAAAGGCTGGAAAAATTGCCGCCATCTATGAGCGACGGCAGCAACCAGACAACCGGCAAGCTGGTTGTCTGGTTGCCACCGTCGCTCATAGATGGCGGTAGCCGTCTAGAGCTTTGTGTTGACACTCCACTTGTCTGCGGACACGATACTGGGGAAACTAGCCCCTAACAGCTCTGCTGTAAGAAAGTAAGGCCTTTTGAGTTTGAAATGTGTCCATTTCAACTTTCAAATTTCAACCGAAATTTCGAGCTTGCAAAGCAAGGTTGGAGCAATAGGTGGGACACTGCAAAACCCAAAAACATCACTCATACAGTGATATCTCCTATGGATCACTGTATTTTTAAAAAAAGAGTGCGCGATTGAACACGGTTGACGAGGCTGACGAGAGATGGTGAGCCTCCTCGCTTCGTCCCGTCGAGCTGGTGAGCCGAAGCGAGGAGGAGAGAGGCGAGGCCGCTTCCCCTCATTCTCAACTGTTCCAGGACGATCGCGACGTCAGAGTCCTCGCTTGATCACGTCCTTTCCCAAAAGTACGGCCATCCGTTTGAGATATGGATGTACGAGTGATGTTTTGGAGTTCGTAGCATGCTGTTCAACGATTCTGCTGCCTTATTTTGCGAAATCCAAATTTTGGTTCAGTATCCTTTTAAAAGGGATGCGCACATAACTTAAGTCACACTCAAAGGGGAAAACTAGCGAGGCCCCACTAGGGGGCCAAACTTTTCTTGCTATACATACAGTACTTGAGGCAAAAGCACTAAAGCAACTCAGGAATTCGCTAAACTTTTAAAACAGTGATGTGATTGGCCTAAGCCGTTTTGGAGCACCTTCTGGAGCAGTTAAAACAGAGTTTTGGAGCAGCAAAACTGGCTTTTGGAGCAGCTAAAACAGTGCTTCGGAGCAGCCAAAGTGGCTTTTGGAGCAGATATTCTTAGAAAAAAAAATATTAATTATAGGTGGTGGACAAACGAAGTACACATTGCTCGCCGCACTCAACCAATTATTGTCAAGATAGACCACCCGGGAGTCTTTCAACATGTAACTGAAATGCCAATGACATAACACATTTTGCAATGTTTCAGTTAAATGATACGAATATATCGCACGAAACTGCACATATTAAAATTTATTTGAAAATGACCAGGTTAGTAGTAAATAGAGAGTTTAGTAGATCGTTTTCAAAGGCCCGCTATAGCTACAAGCGCGCGCTTCAGAGCATGCATCGAAGGGGTAGCGCGAGCTCCCGCTACAAATAGCGTGACCCGAAAACACGATCTACCAAAACTCTCAATAATCACATCATTAGGTTGACTAGTAATATAATAAATGGAAGCAGTCTCTAACTGATTAAACACCTAACTACTGCCGTGCAATGCGAAATTGTCGCGCGAGCGGAGATGGCTGTTCGATCGAAACCATGCCACTCCGCTCCGTCTCAAACTAATTCCCAAAATTGTATGCAAAATGTAACTGTCCAACATACGACAAAAAAAAAAAAAAAACAGTCCAGCGGCACTTGCTTGCCAGTCTGGCAGGCGAGGTACAAGCTGAACACACAGAAAAAAAAAAAAAAAAGAACCTGAGCGCATTGATGCAAGAAACCGCGAGTCAGGGTCAAAATGTTCTTGGAGCGCTTTCTGCAACGACTGAACTCGAGACAAATAAGCACGCTGTACGGGTTCAGCATGCGGACATTGCCTTCTTTGCTTTATCTCACTTTCCTTCACCAACATCTTTCGCGGCTGATTTTTCAGGTACCGGGGTACGTCTCGAAAGAAAGCCTACCGAGAGAAACCTAGGCAATCAATACTTCGACACAGCAGTCTTTGAGCTAAAGGGATGTTTGTAATAGCGTATTAAAGAAGAACAGGATTGTTGATGAACATGCGGCAGTCCTTACGTTTCAGTTTGGAAAGTGCCAGAACTGCAGTGACGTGGGGATGGCAACACCCGACGCCGCGCGACCATGGCGGCTGGCAGGCAGGGACCAAATATGGTTTAAGCACGGCCGTTGCTTTTACGAGCGAGTGCTTCAGCCCATAAATTAACCCCCGCCGCGCAAAAACATTGTTTTTTTTTTCACAGCATGACGGCACGGCTGGTACAAAGCACGCTAGCGTCGGAGCGTCCGCACACGCCAACGTCTATCATTGAATTTTTTTTAAAAAGACGCGAGACGAGAGACGGCAGGAATAATCATGCAAGACCGGATGAACGATTGATGCAGGGTACTTTATGTGGGATGGCTGCTTGCACCACCTAGCTCATGGGTGCTCAATTACGGTCTTCAGTTTAGTTTCGGTTTTCAAAGGCGACCAAAATTGGTCCTTTGGCGCAGGCTTGGCGCAGATTACCCATATTTTAACAAAATGTAGCAGGATATAGCAGGGTTAGCCTCTTGGCGCAGTTTGGCGCAATTGGCGCAGCAATCACATCACTGTTAAAATGACCACAAAATTATTTTTTTTTAATTTCCTTTAGGCTATCTAACGATCAGAGAAGATCAACTTAGCACTGACATCAGTGTTTCTGTCCACACAGGCTCGTTTTCAGAAAGGGCGTGATTATTCTATTATCTCTCCCCCCCCCCTTCCCCCAATTACCCGTCTTTCAAACAAAACAATCCTCTCACTTACAAAACAAAAAGGTTTTTTTTGTGTTTTGACAGGACACATGCCATATTTGCATGAATATAATGCGACCACAAATATAACGCTGCGAGGGCAGGTTTTGATGCCCTCAAAAAGAAAACCGACGTCATGTTTGCGGGTAGAAGTAGCCGGCCGGCCGGCTGCTTCTACCCGCAAACATGGCGTCGGTTTTGATCGTCGACGTAGACGGCGTTTTAGAAGCTCATCGTCCCGCGTAAAAGCGCTATCCTTGACTGTGAATTTTCGTTGTGTGTCGCTATGATAACCCAGCACGTACTAGAAGGGAAGATCCACCTACTCGTGCGGCGATGTCGTGGCGGCACTCTCAAGACGGCAGAAACGCCCATGTTGTCGTGTTTGTTTACTTCGACTACGGTGGTGCTTTCTAAGCATGTGTGTTTTCGAACATCGCCCGGATTTCTTATTTGGAGCATTTCATGCCTGTGCTCAAGGTGAAGGTATTACTGGTGCGTACCGTATAAAGGATGCAAATTTTCACGCGTTTTCATCGCCGGAGAAAAGTGATTAGGGTTAGCAATCCTGAACGCTCGCAACGTCCGTCCGCAACCCGCGACGCCGTTAAAAGGCTGCGCCAGGCAAAAGCCACTCATTTCTTTCAAAATGTGTGACACACCTGAGAGAGAAGTGTACTAGTCTGGTGAAATAAAGACTCCTCAAACTAAGCTTTAATTTTCATCTAACATAAAATAAATTCTTTTACAAAGGTAAGTTGTCTGATGGCATGCATTTTGACCTGAAAAGTTGATGTTTTGGTTATAGCGCGGTACCGCTTATAGTGCGGATTTTCGCGACTCCCGCGACATACGTTATATGCGGTCTACACTGTGCTGTAATTACTAAATGCGACTTATCAATATGACGTTACATAGAACTACATGTGTGTATGGGAGGGTAACTTGAAGGGAAAAAAAGAAGATCATAGTGGCCTCAGAGGGACAGCAGAACGTTGGCAGTCGCTTTAAATATCGCACGAGCTTCGTTCTCAAGCAATTCCCCAAGTTTCGACCACTTCTGTATTTTGTTTAAAGGAACAGAAAACGATTTTTATACCTTCACTAAATACTACTTAGAATCACTCCCCAACGTTAATAACTGAATAAACTTGCCTTAGCTCTTCTTTCTAGGCAATTGCAGTCACCAAACAAATCAGAGAAATATGAGCATCAATCATCCCCTGAACTCGAAGCCAGAAGCGACCACGTGGCCTGGTGCCTATCCTACGCCCCCAACGTTAATCCTACCCCCGCGCTGGGGTTGGAAAGGAAGAAAACGCGAGCCGAGTTTCAGGCAGTTCGGCTCTTCTCATCACCACAGTGGTTGGACACGAGCCACTACCCAAGTGTCCGCCGGGGCATTGATTGTTACGAGCCGATGTGCAGTGCCCACGCAATTCTCGTGTCCAATCCATGAGAAGCGCTTGGCTGTCGTCAAGCGGGTGGTTTTGATCCCACAATTATGTCTTCAATTTTTGCAAAGGCGAGACAAAAAGAAATAGTCTCATTTTATCCTCGCAATATCGCCGCGACAAAGAAGCTTCTGAATCAGTGGCAGTCTGTGCGAATATACTTGGGCCAGACTAGGACCAGTACGCCTTTGAAAAGTCATGAACATTCCAACCCGATATCGTTTTATTCCTCCTTTAAACTTCACGGGGTGCAAAAAAAAAGCAGTGGAGGGTCTGTTAACAAGTGACAAATATAATTGTTGAATTAATACACCCAAAGAGAGAAGGCAATTCCTCAGGAATACAAAATATTCTCTGGAAGAGCAATAAAAAAAATAAAGAAAAGAAGTGTGTGTGTGTGTGTGTGTGGTAGCTTTAAAAACATACTCTGTTGTAAAGGTTTCTCTTCCCCTCATTTCGGGGCAGACCAAAAATTGTGGCACCGGAAACTACTTTGTTTGCAAAAACACCCTCGCCAAAAAGCGCGTTTTTGTCGTGCCAGACGCTAACGCCGTTCCTCGCAACAATGCACTAACAATGCAACGTGCCTTTAAAATACTTGGCTTTCACTGAGCGCGAACCTTCTGCTGCATGCAATTTGCACCACTGAATTGATTTTCTCAGCAAGAAGAAATCACAATGACCACCAGCATGTAGTGTGATGATGTCACAAGCATACCATGTTAAACAGTCCAGCTTTCTGGTGGAATGCGATGTTCACAACACTAGCAGTAGATGTCCTAATTGTAAAGTTGCGCTGTATTTATAGCAGTCCCGCAATGATATACGGCAGCCTAGAGATATATATGTCAGAGCGCATGACTGTTGAAGCATAGTGTTGTAAAGTGAGGGCCCAAAACTAGTGCAAGTATAAAACCAAGTACAACATTAGCCTCCCGAGGCAGGATTTCGCGAAGTTTCGAGCTTGTGCAAGCTGATAAAATGTGATTTACATCAGGATTTTTAAAATCTTTGTTTGTCTTGATATTGATATGTAAAATTGATGACCGGCCAAGCGCCCATCCCCCATTCTTTCGCGATTATCTCTAAATTTTGAGGGGGTGCTTGCCCGGTATTTTACGGTATGTGTTCCTCACACATATAACTTCTCAAACATAGAAGTCTGTTACGTATTGCATCTTTTATGTGGTGAACATTACTTTTATGTGTCTGTGGGCTGGACAAAAAAAAACTACACAGGGGCGCACGGCAGGACTACGATGTTTACGCACGCAGATTGTCAGAAAGTGTCGAATTAAGTAACTGCTATGTCGAGTAGAATTTAAAATTTTTACTTAAAAAAATAATCTTGGAGGAGGCTTAAGCTTCGCAAGAGCCCTGGCTACGCCTATGAAAGTGGAACACGATAGCGTTAACTGGCCTCGTTCGCATCCCCTCCTCTTTCGTCGTGCAAGCGAGCCTCACGTGCATTAGTCAGGAGCGTGTCTGCCTTGCGACAACAGGGTTGTGGGTTCGAATCCCGCCTAAAATTCTGAAATTTTTTTTTAAGGCAAAGGAATTACATATTATGTTTTAATCACTTTCATTTTACGTGTGATATCACGTTTCACGTGAACATTGTGGCTTGTTTGGAATTCCTGCGCAAGGGCATGTGGCTTTTTTGCAACATTAGCTCCTTAACGCTATGCATTAAAATCATCAATTAGCAAGGGTGATGCTCATTTGCAAATTAAATTGACCGGCATCTTGTCAAGAACGAACTTCAACAGCCAGGCTATGCCAGTTTATTCTGTATGAGAAAATGTTCCCTTGGGAAAGCGCTATTTTGGGGCAGATTTGATCTGTGTGCAAAGGTGCGTATAGATTAGAGTGAAGAATTTCAACTACTCTTTTCTGCATGATTAATCGCACGCATGGCGGTGCTGAGTGTAAACAATGTTTGGTTAGAAAAACAAGCATTGTGATTGCCGCTCAGCGTTTCTTTAAAAAATAGACTGAAAGAAACTGTCCTAAAACTTTCGCGACATTTTGAAAATTTGATTGCTTTTAGCTCAGTTGTCTGGTCCTTATATATATATTGTGAAACATATTTCGTAAACCATATTCCACGATATATAGGGCCACGAGGTGCCCATTTTATGGTTTTACATGCTGTAATTAATTCCTTACTTAGTTCAAGGACACAATCCCGATTTTACCTTTAATACTGCGATGCAAAGTTGTACCAATCACGGGTATCTTAGACGACCTACCACACTTCGCGACAACATTTTCCACCGTGTAAATAGATCAGCTTAAACTTTAGAATTTTACTTAAACAGGAAGAAAGAAAGGACAGGAAAAGACAGTATAGTTCATAATTTCAAGCTCATCTATTTACAGGTGTGTACCAACAAGCCCAACCCTTTCCTGTTGTACTTAAACATTTTCATTCAGGTAGAATATACTGGAAACGACTCAATTTTCGCAGGCTCAAATTTTCGCAAATCGGGCCAAAGCCAAAAATTTGAAATTATTCGCGGGTTCTAATTTTCGCAAATCGAGTGTAGCTTCTGTAGCCTTCACATATTGCCCCAATGGTTCACTGGATGTATTTTTCACATTCGTTGGCGATTCACGAAATTCGCGAAAATTAATGAAAATTATTGAATTGTAAACAAAGGGATGTTGAGTCGTATGAACACGACGTTATGTACGTTAATGTAGATTTTCTTTTACTGTTGCGTAGAAATTGAATACTTTAATTTCATAATTTTGGTACCTGAAAACAAAAGTGAATTGCACGGACGATAGAAGAAGCTATATAGTTAATCGTTTTACGGAGTAACTAGTGTCTATTGCCAGAACAACGCGGAAAATATATTTTCAATTAAGCGGTTCAAACCGGTTTGAACCGTTATTTTTTGCTCCCCGTAACTGAACCGAAACCGAACCGAAAGCCGTGAACCCGAACCCAAACCAATCAAAATTTCGGTTCGACACTCTGGTGACAACACAGTCAGGATGACACCACACAAACTGACGCGCAGCGGCCAACGGGAGCCTCGTCGACGCGCGCCAGTCAATGGGACCAAAGTGTAAAAGGTGCCGTTGGCTAGCCTGCGCGTGGCTTCGTTAAGGTACCGTTTTGCATGGTTTCAAAGCTGATGACGTCGACTCGCTCGATGAAGCAAATCGCGAAACAAATCGAAGAATGCTTCTTTTTCTGCCACTCTGTCTAGCTCTGTTTACCTTTCATAGCAACTCTTTTTGGGGGCTGCTTTCTTTTGGGAAGACATACAGTTTATGCCTGCTGCTGTAATTGTAGTACCCTGGCACACAACAGGTAAGCCACCCATCGAAACCGTGCATAAACACCCGGTTAAATGTCTCGTGTTAACCCGCAAAATGTCCAAACGCCAAGTGTACAAAGCGGATGGACGCGGTGGAAAACTGGGAAGAACTACAGTTACCAAAATGCACCGCGGCAGCGGTGGCGTCGTGCAACTCCTGGTGAGATCGGTCTATTGATCTCATGTTACAACAACCGAGTTGATATAATAATGTTGAAGACAAAGAAACTAATAAATAACAATGAAAACAACTGAGTTGATCTAATAACACTGACAACCGAGTTAATGAAGTAACAAATGGTGACGACAACCGAGTTGATCTGCAGTCGGCGACAGGTTAAGAATTCAGAGAAACTCCTCCCACTTTAGCAGAGCGAATGCTGGAGGAGGTCGCATTCGCTCTGCTAAAGTGGAAAGAGGTGGGAGGAGCTTCCCCTGAACTCTTCACCTGTCACCAACATAGTAACATCGACACCCTGGTCAATATAATAACAAATGGTGACCACAAAGTCATTTCATAACGTCGACAACTCGAATGATCTGGCAATGTGGATGACAACTGTGTCAATCTCACCTCTCGGAAAAGCCGCCATACTCCTGCGCAAAGTCCGGGTCAAAATTGTGGGGGTCGTACAGCTTGTTGAGACCCTTCACTGGAGCCTGTGGAAAAGGAGACGCACGCCAACGCTGAGCTCGGAGAACAGTAGAAACATAACACAAAGTTCCTCAAAATCTTTGGCAGACGATAACTCTAATGGAAAAATGTACAGCCTTTCCACTCTTGTGAAGAAGGAAGACCAGCGGAGCTGTACTCGATACACTGCCGCAATGCGCACGTGCCCGTTTCCCACTTCTTCTCGTCCAACACTCCGCCGATCGTGGATACGTCTCCGGCGAACCAGAGTCGGTCGCACACGGCGCACGTGACGCCATACGGGTAATCCCCGAACTCCCTCCGGAACATCGCCGTCACGCCCGGGAACTGTTCAGCCGGCGTGGAGTGCAGTCGTCGCTGGGCCTTGCGCTTGGCCTCCGTGGCACGATCGTTGTCCGTGCCCCGTGGCACGGCGTTGGCCCGCCGGCGCCCTTTACATCGCTGGCTGTGTTCTCGGCGACGGCTTTCCAGGCGAGCGATGTGCTCTTCTTTGGCAAGGGAATCTGAAGCGCTCGACGCAGTGGAAGTCGAGGCGACAGCGGTTTCGCGGTGGTTGCACATGACCCATTCACGCTGCTGCGTACGTCGCCGCTCCTTTCGCAGCTAGTCTTCTTTCCCCGAATGGGCATGCGGCTGACCCATCCTTAGTCCAAAACGAAACAGATAAGAGCGTAGGAAACGGCGCGCAAAACAGACGAGGACGAAGAAACACACGAGACAAGCGCTGCGCTCGTTACGTGTGGTTCTTCATTGTCGTCGTCTGTTTTTCGAGCTATTTCCAATGATGAATTCCCACCAACGTGCCGCCCAACTATCCATTCTTCTATGCTAGCTGGAAAGATTGGCGCCATGTACGGCGGCAACCATACTGGTTGTGTGCTTGCCACCGTCACTTATTGATGGCGGTAGTTGTCCAGAGGCGTTTTAGGGGCGAAGCTCCTTAGGGTCTAGCCTTGTCCGTCCGGCATCCGTGCTCACATCGATCTTGCTCGTGCTCGTGAGCTCACATGTTCAAATACAAGAAAAAAAATGACGAAAAAAAATAAATATATGTTTGCGCAGTCGACAGGATTCGAACCTGTGCGGGGAGACCCCAATGGATTTCTAATCCTTAACCACTCGGCCACGACTGCGAAACGAGTAGGGGGCTCAGAGATGTGGTAGTACCGTATTTACTCGCAGAATGAAGGGACCTTTTATCCTAAAAAATCGAACTTCTTATCTCTTTGCGCACGGTGCCCGACCCTGCAACCAAACTAAGCTGTCCAAAAAAAAAAAACTCCTGTTTGTTTTCTTTTTCTTTTAATTCCTTGGTTTCTTTTTGCACCTTTCGCAAGCTGTTTTGTTTGCTTAGGCGTTGCTTAGGTGAGGGCTCTCCGCTTATCTTTCTTATCTCCTGGCGCATGCACGACCCCCTGTAACCAAACTGCACTGTGCAAAAAAAAAAAGAAGAAAAAAAAGCTCTTCTTTTTCTTTTGTTTTTTCTCAGTTCCGTGGGTTGTTTCTTTTTTTTTTTTCTTTTTGCGGCCTTTTGCAAGATGTTTCGCTTGCTTAGAGGGCTTCTTTGCTTCTCTTTCTTACCTCCTTGCGCGCGGCGGCCCGCGAACCCCAAGTCCAGACTGCGCTGTGCAAAAATAAAAAAAGCTCCTCTCCATGTTTTTTTTCTTGCTTCTGTTGGATCTTTGCGAATCTTTTGAACGCCTTTTGCAAGGCGTTTTGTTCGCCCACGCTGCCCATGCATTCACGACCTCGCCGCAGCAGGATAGAAAAGTGCGTTCATTTCGCATGCATGGGGGGAGGGGGTCAAAATTTTGACATCTGAGTTGGGGGTACGTTTATTACGCGAGTGAAAAAAAAAAGTCAAAATTGTGAGAGCCGACTTGGGGGGTGCGTTCATTACGCGAGTGCGTTCGTTGTACGAGCAAATACAGTAACTCAAGAGCTGGGGATGTCACGGATGGAACGTTGCGTGTAGCCGCTCAACGTCTATACAGGAGAGGGCGCTGCGGTGAAATGCTCAAATGCGTATATAACCACGGACCATACCACACATTCTCTTTCTGACATGGATGAAAACGAACGAAAGGCTCGGCATGCTGCGGCTCACCGTCTACGCAGACAAGCACCACCAGAGCTTCGCCCCAATCAGCATCATTCACCACGTGGAGATGTGGTCATTTTTTTTTTCTATTCTCAATTTGTTAGTAATTTCTTCTCAATAAAATGTACCTTTGTGCCCCCTCCCCAATTCGTGTTACAGATCCTCATAATGTTCCCTTACATTTTCCTTGGCAATCCCAACTCCGTCTGGCCATAGTTGCATGCAGTGCCGTCAAAGCGACGGGCAGGAGAGAGAGAAAAGCCGATTTCACACAAATTTTGAGCAACAACTTTGCCATCTTTTGACTCCCAAAAGTTGGTTGGAGTAAGACGGGAGGTTCTTCCTGCTCCTTTTCGCAAAATGCTCGCACTACGCTCTCGCCCCTGAACCCTCGGAAACGCTGCATGCAACTAGTGAGACAGAGTGTAGACCTTAATGGGCGTTCCCCGTCGTAACGAGGCGAGAGGGGGCACTCACCTTTGCAATGATGTGCCAGATCCGCTTGATGCAGTCCACCACGACCGAGGGCGACCCCATCACCCCGACAATGCGCTCCGTGGAGCCAGGGCAGCAACTCTGTTTAACCTCGATCTTGGCCTCCGTGGACTGCAAGACGGAGCACGACAGTTCGAGCACACAACCCGTGTCTTGTGCCACGACGACTAGAGTCGCCACAGTCGGCGACAGGATAGGAATTCTCGAGTGCAAGCTTCCTGCCTCAGATAAAACCTTGTTGCCCGTGCAGAGAAAGCCCGGAGGAGTGCAACGAGCGTGTGCCGGAGGCGGAACTCCTACCCATTCTGGAACCTGTCGTCTACTACAGCAAACAACTTTACTTTACAGGACTCAATATTTTGCAAATATTGCAAAACATTGGTGTAAAAAATATTTGGCAGACGCTAAATTTTGCGATACAGAGTAATATGTTATGTGTTCGTCACCTAGAGGCGATTTATCTGTGGGCTACATTTTTTGCAAAATGTTTCGAAACGCAAAGTTTGCGAAAATAATTGTTTGCAATATAGAAAGCCAAACTCGGTATGGCACTCTTTTCCTTCATTATCCGCCACCGCCACACAAGTCGTTTGCCCGTTCGCGTCCCATGACACTTGCTTATGCACCGGCTTTGGTGCTTAGAGCAAAATGGACGCCCCTCGATGCGTTTGCATCCATCATACGAGTAGCAACAAATGTGCCAACGCACGAGGGCCGTGCTCTGCACAGCCTTGGAAAGCAAATGGTGACGCAGCACTCGCTCATGGCACGTGCCTCGCAAGTTCTCACGACAGCAGCTGTCGGTGCTCGTAACAAATGCGAAGCGCGAATTTCGTCGAAGAGTTTTGGCGCGGATGCCGTTTGCGACGGTCATCAGTCTAAAACGCTACTTCCTGAGCGGTACGTACAGCGTTAGGAGATTCGCAGCGGCGGCGTTCCACTCCGCCGTAAACTGCTTTAGCGAGCGGGACGACAAAGAGCACGCCTTGCATCTTAAAAAAAGGGAACGTTGGCAAAAGCTGGTGACGACTGGCAACACTGGTTCTGATGATGGATGGTATGACACCAAAGACAAGGATCGGACGTGTTTTCCGGAGCTCGAAGCTAAGTAAATTTTTTTTTTTTTTGTATGTAGGTTTTGTTTTAAGAGTACTTATGGCTTAGCATAAAGCAGATTCAAAGGAGCAGTAGGATCAGGGAGGTGAAGTAGGAATTTAGGGGTAGAGGGAAGCGGTTGTAGCGGTAGTGTCAGGTCACGTGTCCGAACGCGTGTAGATAAATCTTTTCTGGCAGGGGCCTTTCTTTCTCTTTCGGTCGGTCAATTTGAGGTGGGGTAGTTATATAGGGGCATTTTTTCTTCTCCTCAGTTGGATATAGAGATGTTGGGGAGGACAGGAGTGCGAAAGGCAAAAAAACAGGACAAGGCCAAGCTGGATAAGGCCAAACTGGATGGGCCCAATGTGGCTCAAGGTAGTTGTGAACGATGGTGCTTCCTCACGGAAACTCCATTTGCGAGCATGGAGGAAGCAGCAGACAAAGAGTACCAGTGCCGGATCTGTGTGAATGCTAATGAGATGAAGGGGATGTTGGAAATGATGAGGGGGAACATGGGAAGGAGCGGCAGGCACAAGAGAGGAAGGGGGGAAGGGCTCAGGGAAGAGAAGGGCAAAAACAAAGGGGCAGTCGGAGGAGAACTTGGCAGGCAGAGAACACACATGTAGTTTGGTGACTGCAAAAATTCAGTAGACAAAGAAGACACGAGGTTTAATAGCGAAGAGGAGGCAGAGATGACAGAGTTTATGTGTAGAATGTGGGCCTTAAACGCACGACAAGGCAGGCTGGAAGCGGAGGGCACAGAGCTTATGGCAAGGATTGTGGAACTAGAGGCAGAAGGGAAAGAATTAAAAGACAGGCAGTGGAGGAGAAGCTGGCGAAGGCAAACAAGAAGTTGACAGAGGAGGTGGTCTTTTCGCCATCGGGTATCACAGCGAATGACACAGTTGAAGAAAGGGATGGGGCAGGACGTACAAAAAGCACTGAAGCAGGAGGAGAAGAGATGGGATAAGGGGAGGAAAAGTCTAAGGACAAAGCCCCTGCTTTAACGAAGAGTAGGGAAGACAGGGGGGGGGTAACATGATCATAGCAGGGGACTCCAACATGAAAAGGTGCAGAGGGGCAATTGAGAGGGTGAAGGGGGACGCAAGGGTCCAGATTGGGGTGTTTGCTGGACAGACAATAAGGACAGGGATTGAGGGTGTGAAACAGAAACTATGGGGGACAAAAAAAGGCCAAAACCTGGTGATGATAGTGGAGGGGACTGAACAATATACTATGAGGGAGTGGGGGAGGTGTGGAAAAGCAGTTGCGCAGGGGTGTGAGGGACTTGAGGGCGACATTGGACAACGTGCAGATCCATGTCTGCACGGTGCCAGAGGTGAGGGAGGAAGTGTTCACATGGAGGGAGCTGTGATAGCTGCAAACCAGGACATCTGGAGATTGGGAAGGGAGATGGGTTTCGAGTGATTGACATAAATTGGGAGGTCCGCAACAACAGAGAGCAGGCTCTTGAAGGGAGCGGTATTCATTTCAGCCCCCTACGTGGGGAGGGCCGTTGGGTGGTGGATGGCAGGGAAGACAGTGGCCTTTTTAGGAGGCCCAAAAGCTCTCAAGGAGAGGAATCCTGTCAGGAGCGAGGCGAAGTCTGTAGAAGAAAGGATACGAAGTGGGCACATCAGAGGGACACCGGAGGGCAAAGGGGTAGATGAGAGCAGTGATGCAGGTTTGGGGGAGGTGCCCAGGGAGGGTAGGAGGAAGCCATGCAGAAACAGGAGAGAGAAGCTACTTAACATAGCTTTCGTAAACATGCAAGGGGGAAGAAACAGATTAAAGTGGGAAGAGATCGAGGAGCAACTGGAAGCCGAGTATGCACTAGTGTATGGTTTAGCGGAAACACACCTTAAAGACATGAAAGAGCCACAGCGTATACCAGGCTTAGGTGGAATGCAACCGGAAAGAGAAGGAAAGGTGGGGGTCTGGGGGCGTTAGTGAGAGGACAAGACTGGGAAAGGGAAAGCTGCAAAGAACATATTTGGTTGAAAGGCAGAATAGGCGGGTTAGACACGCTCCTGGGGTTTGTACATTTTAAAAGAGGAAGCAACTCAAGAGAGGAAAATACACTACATTTGGCATGCATAATGAGAGACATCAGGCAAATAGGTCGGAACCGGGAAGTAATTATCATGGGCGACATGAATGCCCGTTTGGAAGACTCTGATGGGGCTAATGATGCCACTGGGAGAATGTTGCTAGAGTTTTGCGAGTCCATGCATCTGGTAATGACTAATACTCAAGTGAAATGCGAAGCAAAAATAACGTAGGAAAGGAACAACTCAAGCTCAACGATAGATTATTGTTTAATGTCACACAGACGGTACAACAGGCTAGGAGCTATGGAAACAGATGAGGAGGGCACAAAAAGCTTAGGGAGCAACCATAAGAGAATGAGGATCAAATTTGGCACGTCAAAACAAGAAACACAAACTCTAGAAAAAAAGGTAAAACGAATCTAAATGATGGACAAATAGGGGCCAAAGCAATTGAGGCATCTAAACAACCAGAAAGAAAATGGACATATCGTGATCTAGTATACATTTTTAAAAGAGAACTAGAAAATGTTAGGCAGGGAGGAAGGGGAAGGCAAAAGCACAAACCAAAAAGCTGGTGGGATAAAGGAATTAAGGAAGCCATACTGCAACGACAAGAGGCATCAAGGGAACACAGGTGGGCAAAGAAAGGGGGGGCCACGCCAGCCAACGTAGCGTTAAAATGGGAGAACTTCCAGGATCGGAAAAGGGAGGCCTCTGCTCTAATACAAGCTACAATTGGGAGAGCAGGAGTGCAGTGAATGATGGAGATAAACCAGAAGGAAAGAAATGTGGCAAGACAGTTTTGGGCACATATTAGTTCACAGGGGAGAAAGACAGAGGGGGACCCACATCTACTCACTACACAAGAGGGGATGAGGGGTGGAGGGGGAACAAGCACGAGAATATATTAGGAAGACAATCGAAAAAATTTTCGAGGAGCTTGAACATAACGATGGGGAGAACGATGATAGAAGTAGGGTACAGGGAGAGGAAAATAGTGAAAAAATTAGAGTGACCACAAGAGAATGGGCCAAGGCGAAAAGAAAGGTTTTAGCTGGAACTGCAACAGGCCCAGAGGGCATACTTATGACGCTAATAAAGATTGTAAACAAAAATAGCAAATTAAAGTTAAAACAGGTGATACAGTGTAGACCACATATAACGTATGTCGCGGGAGTCGCGAAAATCCGCACTATAAGCGGTACCGCGCTATAACCAAAACATCAATTTTTCAGGCCAAAATACATGCCATCAGACAACACCTTTCTAAAAGAATTTATTTCTATGTTAGATGAAAAATAAACCTTAGTTTGAGGAAAGTCTTTATTTTACCAGACTAGTACACTTCTCTCTCAAGTGTGTCACACATTTTGAAAGAAATGAGTGACTTTTGCCTGGCGCAGCCTTTTAACGGCGTCGCGGGTTGCGGACGGACGTTGCGAGCGTTCAGGATTGCTAACCCTAGTCACTTTTCTCCGGCGATGAAAACGCGTGAAAATCTGCATCCTTTATACGGTACGCGCCAGTAATACCTTCAACTTGAGCACAGGCATGAAATGCTCCAAATAAGAAATCCGAGCGATGTTCGAAAACACAAATGCTTAGAAAGCACCACTGTAGTCGAAGTGAACAAACACGACGACACGGGCGTTTCTGCCGTCTTGATAGCGCCGCCACAACACCGCCGCACGAATAGGTGGATCTTCGCTTCTAGTACGTGCTGGGTTATCATAGCGACACACAACGAAAATTCACAGTCAAGGATAGCGCTTTTACGCAGGCCGATGAGCTTCCACCACGCCGTAGTTCACTTTAACGCTGTCTATGTTGACGATCACAACCGACGCCATGTTCGCGGATAGAAGCCGGCCCGCGACCGGCATGCAACGCGCGCGAACACTTCTCCTCGACCTGCGATTGGTCTGTCGTTGCGGTTGTTTGTTTCCAATGCAGCGGAGGGACGCACGCACGGCACGCACGTGAACGACACGTGCGTGCGTCCCTCCGTCGGTATGGCAACTGAAGCCTCTCTCTTCGCTTCGCCTCGCTTCTTCGAGCCTATGTTCGAGCCTTCGAGCAACCTCCTTGCCCCGCGAGTGCCGCTTGCGGCCATTGTGGCTCGCGCCGTTATCTAGTGTCGCACAGGGAAGCGTGCTCGCTGCGCCGCTTAGTCGGCACGCTGTTCCAAAAACCGCACCATAACCGGTATTTCCCTTCGCGCGCCTGCATTTTAAGCGATATGTAAATATATGGAGTTCTATGGGAGGCAAATCGGTGGTTTAAAAAAGCCGCGTTTTACCCGGTCCTGCACTATAAGCGGTCACGTTGTAAGTGGTCTATACTGTAGTTTAAATAATTGGGGAAGACATATTGGATGACTGGAAGCAAAGCAAGATGAGGCTAATATATAAGGGAAAGGGAAACAAGGATATCAAATCGTACCGCGCAATAACGGTAACCTCGGTACTATACAGGCTAACTATGCAGATAATAAAAACAAGAATGGAAGCATGGCCAGAGAGCACACAAATCTTAGGAGAGCTCCAAAACTGTTCCCAGAGGGACAGAAGACATGAAGACAACCTATTTATCATTACTCAGGGCATAGAAATTGCAATGACAAATTTTATAGCATTTTTAGACATAAAGAGGGCATATGACAATGTGAGCCAGGAAAGGCTTTGGGAACAGCTCAGAGAATATGACCTAGATGCAAAGTTGGTTAGCTTTTTACCACAGGTATACACAGACAGTAAGCATTCACTGGGACACTACAGAACCAGGAGCAATTAAAAAGAGCGCTTAGGCAGGGTTGCCCACTGTCATCCCTCCTCTCCATGATACACCTGAGTGGAATGGAAATGAGTGCTATTTGGGCTTTCTTAGGAAGGGAGAAAGGTAAAACAAGTTATACCTGGGCTTATGTATGCAGATGACATTGCGCTTTTAGCAGATAGCCACGATACAGTGCAAGAACTAATGGGGATATGCGGAGGGGAGGGTGACATGCTGAACCCGAATTTCAGTAGCAGAAAATCTGGAGGAATGGTTTTTAACGTTGACAAAAGAGATCCCCTGAAAATACAAAACATAGTAATAGACTTTGTAGACACATATAAATATTTGGGGGTATGCACTAATGAGGGAAGGAAATACCTAAAAGAGCACGAGAAAAATGTACTAAAGAAGGGGAAAAGAACCTAAAAAAAAAATGAAACACAGAGCGCTGTGGAGTTTTAATAGGTATGAAGTAGCAAGGGGTATATGGAAAGCAGTATAGTGCCAAGACTGTCGTTTGGTACTGCGCTTCCGTGCAAGAGAGCTGAGGTTCAATCAAGTTTAGAAATCCAGCAAAGAAGTGTGCGCAGGTTGGCACTGGGAGCACACAGAATGAGGGGGTACAGGCGGATATGGGCTAGTCATCATTTGAGGCTAGAGAAGCTATCGGTAAGCTGTGATTCGAGTGTAGGCTAGATGAAATGGAGGATGTACGGTGGGCGGGGAAGGTGCAGGAGTACTTATACATGAAGAGCCTGAACACGAAATGGACAAATCGAATACGAAAGCTAAAATTTAAGTACCTACAAACTAGTGATGGGGGCGAGCAAAACACCGCAGTACGAAAGGTCATAAAGGAGACCGAGGGGAAAATGTGGAGGAGGAGGAGCTGACGAAATTGGCTACAACACTATACAGATCACATAAACAGGAAAAAAAGAAAATATATTTGATAACTCACAAGGGAGTGCTTTGTTGTTTGAGGCAAGGAGAGGGGTTCTGAGAACTAAGACACATAGGGCAAAATTTTCCGATATTATTATACACACATTATGTACGGTATGCCATATTGACATTATGTACGTTATGCCATAGTGAAAAGGAAAAAATGGAGCATTTGGTTATGAATTGTGCGAGGTTTTATCCCACCCACATGGGACAGATTTTGCGGGAGCACTGGGTCTGGTGGAAAGGACGAAAGGATTATTACAATAACAAAGTTAGATGATTGGTGGAAAAGGTCTAGAGAAGTGTGATGTTGCACGAAATTTGGGATTTATGCTTATTATTAAAAGAAAATTTAGTGCAAAATTTTTATCCGATAAACTAGGCTAGGCGGCGCACGCTGCAATCTGTTACAAAGGGAACAGTCAATATTCATCCATCCATCCATCCATCCATAACAAAAGTGCAGTCACTATAAAGCAAACTTTAGTCGGTGATTTTAGAGCTGAATACAACTCCTGTTTACGCCAAAGCTCGACAAGAGCTACACGCTCTCATCGAGTTCTTTGCGTATTTTCCGCTCTGAATGGTTCGGCGATCAACCGACAACGACGTAAGGGGAAGGGCTTATTGTTTAGGTGGTATCGATCTAGCACACTAGTTCCTGTCTTGCGCACCACTCGGTTTCGAAAGCGACGCCCCAGATAGGGACCGGCCGAACCCACTTTTCTCAGCTCCTTGATGCGGCTCTTGACAATCCCAACGACGTGTTCCCGGTGTATCAGCAGACGCATCTCGCTCTGCACAGCTTGGGCAGCCTCAGTCCCGCAGCGAATCGACAATGCTTTGGCGATCTTCGGGTGTCTGGAACGAGTCTTGAGCCTGGGTTTCGGTTGCACCTGCATCGTGCCATTACTCGTTGTAAGCCAAGCTGTAGTGGAGCGGCGGAGGTGAACGTGCCGGGCACCCGCTCTGCAGCGGGTTGCTCTCCGGCATGACGGTTTGCGGAAGCTTTGGCAGCCGGAAGTTGGGACGACGTGACAGATAGACACAGTTCCATTCGCTCATCTTTTAATGTGAAAGCATTAATTGGTCTCTTGGAGCGAGCTGGAAGCGCGAAAACGGCAGATAGTTTCTGCATGCCTTTGGTTCCACTGGCTGGCGCGCGTTGACGGGGCTCCCATTGGCTGCTGCGACATGGTCTCCGAGATCCCGAAGCACGCGCGCGCTAGTACGCAGCAGACGACAAAGGGAGCGGACGAGCGGCTTGCATGCTTTCGCATTCACAACTCGCAAGAAATGCTTAGGTGTATCTCGAGCTGTTTCTGTCGAAACATTTGCGACAAACCGCAGAGATTGCGACGGCTCGTGCAGCATATTCCATCACCACTTCGAAACTGCATTCCACGCACGGGCGGTATCGGACGCCGAACACACCAGTCGGAAACATGTTCCAGGCACTAAAACCGTAGTGCCAGAGAAGGTGCACGTTCAGTAGCCAATGCATTTTCTCGTGTGCAAGCCTCGGAAACCAAAATTTGAAGGGGTAGCGTCAGTTGATTCACGTAAACGCCACACAAGTGACAAGAGTTTTACGCCGAGTACAGAATCTAAATGCGCCAAACCGACAATCAAATGCTCGCACTAATAAAGTCCCTTAAAGCGAGCGGGAGCGTGACCTGGGGGGCTATGTTCAACAAACGTTTCGTCTCTCCTAAAAAAAAAAAAATGAAAGTGACGGAAGTGACGATATCGCGTCTGATTGGTTAGAGGCTCAAATGACAAAAGAGAGAACTTTCGTCATTTGAGCCACTAACCGATCAGACGCAATATCGTCACTTTCGTTTTTTTTTGTTTTTTTTTCAGGAGAAAGGAAACATTTGTTGAGCATGGCCCTCCTGGACTAGACTCGACGTGAACCTTTCCAAACAAGGTCTTTGAGGCTAGTGTGCTCTCTGCATCATGCGTACACAAAGTTGTCGAGGCAACTTGCGTGAGTATGTTGCTCCACTTAGCGTTTCCTTCGCTCAAGAGCATGTGTGACCCAGGTGCAAGACATGTTTGAAGTAGACTCGTGATAATTAAAACTTAGATAGTTCATACTTATGGTTAATTCAAACAAGTTTAAAGATCCTGGTTGTCCCGCTTATGTTTTCAACGTATTTATTAGGGGTGTGCGAATACCGAATAGTAGTTCTCGAATCGAATACCGAATCGAATCAAGAAAAAAAAGCCGAATATCGAATCGAATATCGAATAGTGATTTTATTTGTAGGAATTTCTCAAAGTGTGCTGCGAATGAGTCTATATATGTGCAGAGTATGCGCCTGGTGTAGAATATGCATCTTGTACAGAACAATAGCAAAAATGTAAAAAAGTTCTGGTGAAAAAAAAAAAAAAAAAGCAGTTGCTGTTGGACGTTGGGCACTAAAGATCCAATTTTATGGCGCAAACATAATCTATCTACCCTAAACGTCACACACAGAAAAGAAAAACAAGAAAAGTTACAGCCACGCGTGGCTTTTTTTTTTTTCTCGTTAAAAGCACAATTTAACACCGCGACTTTTTTTTTATATATATATTTGTGTATCTCAGAAAAGGGGCATTTTGCGATATTTGGTCTCCATTTTAAGGAAGAAAAAGGACACCGGGGATTTTATTTCCCATAAAAAAACATATAGGTGTTAAATCTGAATCTGGAGCAAGAAAACAAAACGTGGTTAGGTGGCGCAAGTCACCGTCCGACTGCCTCTATGCATCCATTTTTCCGTCGTATCTCTCCTGTTTTAGAGAGCCTTGATTTAAAAGAGGAAACAAGAGAAACTGAAATTACGGAGACGGCTCCAGCGCAGATTGGTCGTAAGTGCGCATGTGTTGTGTTGTCGCGTGGAGAGAGGGCGAGCAAACAAAAGAGCGACGACGCCTGCCCTGCCTGCCCGATCCCGATCCCGAACAACGCTTTCGTCTTTTCGTCACCTTCTCGCAGTTCAAAATTCAAGCGCGGCTATTGAACGGTTGGAAACCCTCTCAAATCTAGGCACACTATTTTTCCGTTCCGTTTCGTTCCGAATCAGAATTTGCGGCTTTCGGCAACCGGCGGACACATCGAGCGCCTTCCGGTTTGCTATTTCAGCGCCATCTCTTATCCGTTGGTATTCTATTAAGTCTTTCCGGTTTACGCCGGAAAGTTTATTTAATAGGATGAGATACATATTATTGTTGCTACTTACAAATTTCAAAAATTATCCTGGTAAGATGAAACAAATATCTTGGTTAGCTAAAGTTTCGCCCTCATACTTTGCTCTCATTGGCCGGTTGTTTTTTGTATTTTGACCGTTGAGAACAGTTGCGCGTCGGCTGCCGCGCTCGCGGATGCGTCGGCTGCTCGGCGGCGCCTGTGCCAGCGGTGCGGTGGTGGTTTTCGTTTGCGGCAGCGGGCAGTAGCGTTGACCTATTGGTTATCGGTCTATTTCTGCTACCAGTACACAGAGCAAACGAAACCTTGTTCATTGCTCGACTCAGTGGTGCTCTAATTCCAGTGGCAACAGCTCTGCGAAGTTCTTTGGGTTGCCGATCGAGTGACGAAAGGTAAAGACGGGCTGCTATACTTTTGGTTATACAGTTTCGGATTGCCGAAAACTTGCTGGTGCATGTTTCTTTATGGAAGAGTTATTGTAAAAGGTCACAAGGGACAGTGCATGTATCTTAAAATGGGCGGTGTGGGCGGTATGGGTGTTAGAGCACCGCAGCTCGGTAGCTCGTGCGTGGAGCAGCTCGCTGCAGAAGGAACCTGCGAGAAACCCCGGCGATCGAATCACTGTCGCTAACTACCGCAAAGTTAAATGTGTGATTGCAGGTCTGTGAATACTTGAATAGTAGTTTCGTGTAGATTTTAATACTTTGTTGTGCTGTGCAGTGAACGTTTTTTTTTTTTTTTTCTTCTTCTTTGTATAACGAGCGTGCCTAATAAAAAGAGAACTTGCAAAAGAAGTTTGGACTTGTGCTCAGACTGGCGATGTGCGCCCATCTTAAGCCGCTAAACAGCAGCGGCTGGGCGTGCTTTGCATTCATTCATTCACGATTTTATGAGAACTGGCTGTCACTGAACATGCACTGTTGCTAAGCCGATCTCAATCGAGCGAGGCAAAGTCAAGTGCAATTGTTTCGGAAGCGTCGGACATTCGCAAAAAAAGGTAAACACTTTTTTTGTTCTAAAAAAGACTACATTGTATTGTAGAAGAACGAGACGGCGGCAATGGGAGCAGTTCCCTCGTCTCTCAACATCAGCGACAATAAGATGCAAATTCGTTCGGAGTTCGGAGGCTGCTCCGAACTCCAAACGAACTCGCATCTTTTTGTCACCGAGGGTGAGAGAGAGGGAGAGGAGGGAACACACTTCTCTCACCCTCTCCCATAACCAAGCGGTTGCCATGACGACGGTGCGCGTATTGTTTTGTCTATTTCTTATTTCTTTTGGAGAAACCCAACGCCCGTTAGGGGAGATTTGGCGCTGCCGTCGCTGCCGTCTGCAATTGGAGTCCCAATGGGAGGTATAGGAAGAGTCCGCCGGTTGCTTTCGGCGCTTGCGGTTCCAAAAGAACGACGAGGATAACTCGGCTGGTTTCATCGGCGTGGTTAACGTAGTTTTCTTTGTGTGATCGTGCAGTCGCCGATTTCTGTGAATGCGGCAAGTGTGTTCTACATCGGTGCTTCAATTTGAAATGAGGGGCTTTACTCGTCAAAAGAATTAGGCATGGAGCGGAATTCCGGCTTCTCTGTTTCGGTTGTGATTCAATGGAAGATTGTGTCACGATCGTGAGTAAATCTGCGTGCTATAAAGTTCGTGGCGTTCGTTACTTTTCTTTTTTCTAACCTGTGCGTTAGATTTTTGTGGAATGGTAGGACCAAGAGGTGTTTCTCGCATGGTCGGTCTAATATCACGGCGCTTACATCGGGAGAAAAAACGGCTTTTTTGTCAGCTCCGCGCCGACCGCGCGTCTTTGGCCGAATATATCGAATATTCGAGTGACCGAATACTAGGAATTCGATTCGCGAATCGAATTATTCGGGATCTTTCTATTCGATTCGAATTCGTATATTCGAGTATTCGCACACCCCTAGTATTTATTATTCGCTTGATTCGAACGGCATTCTCGTGTAGTTCACACTCTTTGGGTCTCGCAGTCCCGTTGAGTGCGCTTCTTATCAAGCGCCAATGCACTGTGGAGAAGCAATGCCCGCAGAGCTCGCTTCCATGGGTGTTGCTTCTACGCGGCGCACAGGCTCTTGGTAAGAAGTGAGCTCAATGGGGCTAATAGTCCTCGATACACAACATTTTTGAGGGGTGAATAAACTTATGTCATACATTTCACCAGTGTTCGACGAGTGGCATACCTGATTATGGTCAATAGGCCCTTGTAAAGGAAATCATCAAATATCTGCTTTGTAGGTGTAGCCATTCATATAACAAATCATAATTTTAACTTGCGTCCCATTAGGAATAATTTCTGATAATTCAGAATAAAATTTGTGGCTTCGTTAAGTTTGAATAAATGAGCGTCTTACCGTACTGTCGAAGGTAGCAGATGTATGCTGGACACGGGACAACCGAAACTCCTCCCTGCTGTTTTCATCTTGTCGGCGATTAGCCTAAAAAATGACGCCCGACAAAGTAGACGCCGAATAAAAAAAAAGAGAAGAGTCGAACATGGCTACTCACTTGATGCATCTTGGGAATGATGCTGGCCAGAATTTCTCCGAGGGTGTCCAAGTCGGCCACAATGGACAAGATCCTGGGGGGACAGCCGCAGCGTGCCAGGGAAGACAAAAGCAGACGGATAACACTCCGTCGCGGGGGGCACACACCCGCCCACCGTGCTCCAAGATCAAGTCCGGCCCAGAAAGTTCCGCCCCCAACGACTTCATTATCAACCCGCTTTCAAATATGGCATATTAACACAGCCTGTGGTAGTAGACCTAAACTCTTTCCTCAGATACTCAACAGAAGAGCACAAACTTGTGTTTGGGAGTATAGTTGCCTTCGATTATCTTGGTCAGGCTGCAATGTGTCTCTATACTTGGTCTGGACAGTTGTGTTGAGAGGTAGCAAGGCAAGGCCTTGCTACATCCCAGATAGCAAAGCCCAGATAGCAAAGCTTTGCTGTCGAGGGGGTGTTGGTTGAGAGCTATACCAGGAAAAGCAAAAGCATTATTAGAGCATACCTCGGCAGAATGCTTGGTTTGCATGAGCAGCTACAGCCCTCTCTATACTTGGCATTCAACGACACTGGCAAAGACCTCTCGAGAGCTTTCTGTCCGCAGACCTCACAACGCTCCTACTCCATGTACAGTGGAAGACTGTACGAGGCCAATGCACCGTCAATGTTGGTGTTTTACGGATGACCGTGGACACACGCTGCAGCATTTCAGAGGATACCCCTCCTCCCACACGCAACCGCAACACCCCATTCTTCGAATCTCGCTTTCCATAAAATCCCAGATGCGCGACTTTTAAAATGAGGGCTTGCTGGGACGGACTTGACAGACACTTCAAGGTCAACACCACCCCCTTTTCCCAAAGCAAACCGTCCCAAATCAGCTGACCTCCCACGCAAAAGCAACCACATCCTGTCAGCGAAGCGGTCCCATGCCAACGCTTCCCCCAAGTTCCAAGCCGGGCATACGACAGTCGAGCACAGTAAGCAGCATCCGTCTGCTACACACAGAGTGCAGACGTACCCACGCCACGGCGAAGGGGGTGCAACGTTCAGCATACTCGAAAGGTGTCCTTGATTTGTTAAAGGCGTTGTGACTTCATTAAAGAGCAGTGGAAGAGTTAGTCAAGCATTCAGGCATCTTTCCTGCACTTCCCCCTTCTTTTGGGTGGGGGAAGCGACATTTGGGAGTGGGGGGGTCCACTAGGGGTCCCCACGATCAAAGGGGAGTACCGCATTTAGCAAAACTCTCGTCTTGTTGTTGTTGTTGTTGTTGTTGTTGTTGTTGTTGTTGTTGTTGTTGATGATGATGATGATGATGATCTTTATTGGTTCAGGAGAGCCGTGGCACCACGGAAAGGCAACAGCCCGTACCACGGAGGCCTGCCGTGCAACGTCTAGTGATGATGATTATGAGGTGGTATATACAAGAGGAGGACCTGCGACGTATAGATGACAGAGAGGTTATGACGATGTGAAATAAAGCACGCCGGTGAGTGCGTGGACCGATGTTGCAGGCGATGTGGGCCCAGTGCTTCCCAGTGGGCTCAACTTGAAGATGGCTCGCTATCAAAAGTATCATCACTAATTGAGACAGCCGCTAACATAGAATGTAAATTAGTAGGAGTGAAGTCTGCCTACAAATTTGAGCTCTGGATTTTAGTTCAATAAAATGCCGCCTCTTCTATTGGACGTGCGGTGGACTCATTCTGCAGGCAAACTGCGCATTGGCAAGGACGTAATAACCTCCTAAAACATTCCATTTCTGATACAAGAAAAAAAGAAAACCTTTTTATCACTACACAACACTTGACCCAGGCAAAAAGATTCTTGCTCTACAGATCCGAGCAAACTAATTCCAAGCCAAAAAAGAGGCCACATCTCCACGTGGTGAAAGATGTTGAGTTCCGGGTTCCGTTTCGACTTCATTATTACTGCTTTATGGTCGGTGAAATGCAGAGCCAGTGGTTCTTCTAGTGGATCAGCTTGGATCCGCTAGAAGCCGTGGGAACGCATTTCCACCGCTTAAGTCAACGGTCCATGTCAGAAGGAGAATGTGTGGTATGGATCGTGGTTATATACGCATATGAGCATTTAACCGCAGCGCCCTCTCCTGTATAGACGTTGAGCGGCTACATGCAACGTTTCATCCATGACATCCCCAGCTCTTGAGTTACTACCACATCTCAGAGCCCCCCACTCATCCCGCAGTCGTGGCCGAGTGGTTAAGGCGATGGACTAGAAATCGACTGGGGTCTCCCCGCACAGGTTGGTTAAGTGGTTAAGACGTCTGCCCCGTAGGCAAGCGGTCCTTAATTCAAACCCCCCTGCAAGCGTATGTTTTTTTGTTTTTTTTTTAAAAAGTGAGCCAATTTCGGAGGCAGTGCAATCGATGTGAGCACGGATGCCGGATGGATGAACAAGGTTAGACCCTAAGGAGCTTCGCTCCTAAAACCACTCGAGAGCGAGGCAGAAACGTCGCATCGAGGCGAGCCTCTAGATAAGTTTCTGGATTGCAACACATGTCATGTGCATTTCCGCAAAGGTAATGCCAACACTTCGTAAAAACAAATTCAGCTTGAACTGTACTGATGCTGGGTGCACTAAAGAGATTTTTCACTTCTGCCTTCTGGGGCTCTTATTGATCCCCTGCTATACAATATCTACAAAAAAAAACAACAACAAATTATTTGTGCGTGTCACCTTTCTGTATAAAAGTGTGATTCAAAGATTTGTGCCCAGGAGAATCGCATTCAGCACTGGCCCAGGTCACATGTCAGAGAAGGCTCAGTGTCAACTCTGATGCTGATACCTTCTCTCTTGACCCCTTTGAATATCTGTCGATTCAGCTGAAGCCTCAATCGGGCTAAACCCTGCGAATTCGGCTGGACGTTACAATTCGAAAATTCCCAGTTTGGCCAAAGTGTCCATTTGGCTGAAGCCTCAATTCAGCTCCAAGCTGCAAATATGGTTAGACATTCCAATCTGGCTTGCTTCCCAATTAGACTGGTCAATTCAATTTGGTTTAACATCCATTTAAAAACAGACGACCAGTTCGCGCTTTCCACTTTTTCCCCGCTTCCTCCTCTCCCCCTCCACCCTGTCCACCGTTGCCTGTTTCCTCCTCCCCCACGGTGAGGAGGATATTCTGCTTTGCAGAATCTCGTGTCTGGTCGTCGGCCTTTAAGGCATAATTTGCAAGTTTAATGGATGCTTCAAATCGGCCCACTTTTCAGTTCGGCTTGAAGCCTCAGTTCGGCTCCAGCATCTCAATTCGGCCAAAAGGTTAGTCGGGTTAGTTTGAAGTATGTCCGCAACCACCGCAATCGTTCAAAGGAACTCGAATCGCACTCTTTACACAGAGGCGCAGCGCACGTGCCAACGACAAAATAGTTCTTCTGAGGCCCACAGGCCCAGTCAGGCCGATCGAAAGCCGAAGTGAAAGACCGCCTGGGTGCACCCCGGCGCCACCTGGCAGCGAAGGGGGAGGAGGGCGTCTGGGGGCCAGCTAGAAGAGGGAAAGAGGTCCTACCTTTCTGGGCCGGGACAGTCTGGCACCGAAATACCTGCTTCGAACTGGGGCAGCGGGAACGGTCGGGGGTCAGAAGACAGGAGACATTCGTTGGTGGCATTTGCGGTTTGCGTACGGGGTCACGCCCGACCAAAGGGGGCCATGGAGAGAGGAGAAAAAGAAGAGGGCGACAAGAACTATGTTGCACTCATCTTAGTCCGAGGGGGAGCCTGGCCTACAGAGGCACCTGTTCTTGCCCAAACCCTCGGCCCTCTGAAAATGTGCACGCGGACAGACACCTAATGCGGTGCCATTGCACCTAATGCGGTGCCAATAGAGACCGTTGGTTGTCAAGCAACTTTCGGATTAGTATCGACGTATTCGCACGACCCGAGCACATCCCTTCGGAAGCTGGGTACAACGCAGCAGAAACCGGCGAGTGTGGCAGGCAGACGCACGAGACAGCTTAGAGGAAGAGCTCTGGCAAAGCTTCAATGGTCTCCGATTTGTCACAAAATTGGTTCGACATGCTAATGGACGCGTCTGAACCACGAGTCACAAAAATTGCGTTAACAATATTTATTTCTCGCGAAGTTACTAAAGTTTCAAGCATGGTCCAAGAGGCTGGGAGGCCCTAATGGCAACACTGAAGACGCGACGTCAGATGTTGTAATATGGAGCAATATACACGCGGTACAGCTCATTCCCGACGGGCTACGGGAAGTTAGATGATGCGAAACTAATGTCCGTTAAGTTTGTGCAGGCAAAACGAAAAAACATGCAGAAAATGCTCCGTTTTTATAGGCCGCCCACTCGACTCGCAGGTTATGCAACGTGCGACGTCCCCCTGCTGGAGAGTGCAGAAAAATTTTAAAGTCAAATTTGGCATTGCCTTTGTTTGCGGTTTTCCCGATAGCCACTTCAAATTTAGAGATAACAAATAGCGCACCCAAAAGAGCCAAGCCTGGGCACTCCGAAAACGCGTTTTGTTTTGGGTTGCCCGAAAAGCCGCCGGAGATCCTCTTTAACCTACCTAAAGCAAAGCCGGAGGTGGGCTGCAAAGCGAGACACCTCGTTGCGGTAATCAAACCTCCGAAACCGGTTATGAGGTTGCCAAGCCAACGCCGCGCCCAACTTCGAAGAAAGTGTACCGGCCAAACATTCTACCGCCACCAAAACGGCCACCACCCGTTTCCCCGCAAAAAAAGGTCGGCCCGTCGGTAAACGAGGGACTCGCTGTCAAACAAAAAAAAAAGGCAGCAGTGCGTGTGGCATGCTACCCCTCGAGGCGCAAGGGCACGGCTCCAGTATGCGGGGGCGGCGACGTGCGTACGGCAGGCCCAAAGCACAGAACTCTTAAGCGAAAGGCAGCTTTTCATAGAGTAGCCAGAAAAATGGAAGAGATCCATGTGCTGCACTTTCCAGTGCCCTTGTCGATAACCCTTACACATGGCCCATTGAGCCGGGTGTAGGATCCGACGGACCACGGAACACATGTCGGTTGTTGGCTTACGAGCGCCATGGTCTGCCACGTCTACGACCCGCAACCTTCGCGTTCGGCTGCGGATTTGACGGTGGAGCTGTCATACCTGCTGCAACATATCAAAAAGAAATTTTAAAATTGATATACTTTTCAATTAGAGGAGAGGTGCACAGCGAGGTTTAAACCTGAAAAATTTTTGTTTTAAGGGCAAGACTTTGGCGAGCGATGGTCGGTGTAATATCTCTAAGACCAGGAATGGTAACAAAATTAGTCCGTCCCCCCCCACCTCCTCTGCCTAAAAGTAATGCTTCTGCTTCAATTAGCGTACCAAAAGATAATTAAGCAAATGAAAAAAAATTATCTCTAAAATGCTGGTGTAAGCAAACATCCGAGAATGTTTTGCCCGGTACAAACGTCCATTTCAGAAGCCGTCATCCTACCAAAGCCGAGAAACGTGTCCGCAGTCTTGATCGCGGCGACGTCGGCCTGGGCAGCAAAACTGACCGGAAAAGAGCAGTCGGCCGGCTCGCACGTGGACGGGGGGACTCCACCAAAAGTGCCGAAGGGGGACCCAACCACCGGGAAAACCCCACTCACCTCTTCTCTCAGGCTGTTGATGTTGGCACCGCCCTCGCCGATGATGGCATCAGCATTCTGGACAAATCAATAGGGCTCCTCAGATCTATCCGCGCTGGGACACGGCGCCTGCGACGCGTCTCCGACTGATGCGCTCTTCACGTCCAAAAAAGCGGTCCCTCGACTTTTGCCCGATGACGTCGTAAAAGAGTCGTGCCGGCCGCAACCTTGGCGGCGTCGCAGCAGCGGTGGAAAACATGGCAGACATAGCAGACGGCTGTTCTATTGCAAGTTGCTTTCCAGAAAGTTTCGGTAGGGACGAGTTGGGATGCCGCGATGACGGCGACGCTAGAGCGTGCTGAAGTTTTAAAGTGCAACTTTTAGGCGCCCGTTTCCGGTTTGAGTGGCATCGGCGTAACCGCACGGTGCATTATGGGAAACATCCCATGATGCACCGCGCGGAGGGATGAGGAGGGGAGGAGGAGGATGGGAGGAGGAGGGGAGATGCGAGTTACCCGCTGTGCAGTCTTGACTAACGCTGTCTCGTTCCCCCGCCTTGATACTGCTGTCCTGTTTCCTGGCACCGGCAGAACTTAGAGTGGAGCTTCCAGATGTGGGAACTATATTTCCTTTCTCCAGAGAAGAGGTGAGTGAGAACACCACTATATATACATATATATATATCCTGGCTCCGCCGCTCATTTTGACTTTCGACGGGTTCGTAAAACTTTGATTCTTAGATTCATCTGACTCAGTATGGTTCATTCATTTGCAAGTGTTTGTTTATATATATACAGGGTGTTTCTGCTTAAGAATCCGTAGCTTTTTTCAGCGGTATAACGTCGGCAACACATGACTTCAGGCCCGTTTAATCTTTCAGATTTGTTTAAAAAAAGCCGTGAAAGCTACACTTACGCGGTTTGTGCAGGTGAGTTACACGGCCAAGAGAACATAGTATAGGGAGATAGCCACAACTATTAGTTGGCTAATTAAGTAAAATTTGTTAATTAGTTTTTGAATTAGTGCAAATAGACATATAGTTCCAATTAGAAACTTGCTGAGCATCATCGAAAACCACTAAATAAACTCTTTTAAGAAGGGTATAATGCCAGGACAGCGTTTTAAGGCGTTCTCTAAAAACGCCTTCTTTGGACATGTTTCTAGATTTCGGTTTCCTATCGGAGCGTATCTACCCGCCCGCAGTCCTGCCTTCCAGTGGCTGAGACGCGCAACACACACCCACCCTACTTCCCTCCATTCTACAAGGAAGGCGAGGGAGTGGCTTCGCGCCACAACCACCAGGGAGCAGGACCGCGGGCGCAAAGATGCGCTCCGATAAAAAAACGAAATCTAGAAACGCGTCCAAATGAAGCGTTTTTGCAGAATGCAGTAAAATGCTGCCCGGAGTTATAACATATTAAAAATAGTTCATTTAGTGGTTTTGAATGATGCTCAGCAAGTTTCTAATTGGAACTATATGTGTATTTTCACTAATTAAAAAGTTAATTAACGAATTTTAATTAATTAGCCGACTAATAGTTGCAACTATCTCCTATACTATGTGCTCTTGGCCGTATAACTCACCTGCACAAACCGCATAAACGTAGCCTACATGGGTTTTTTTTAAACAAATCTGAAAGAACAAGTAAAAACACCCTGTATATATATATATATTATATATACAACACGGGCACTTCACGTCATCGTACGTGGTCTCCGAGGAGGATATGAACGAATATGTGCAGATGAATGAACCGTACTTAATCCAATGAATTAAAGAATCCAAGTTTTTCAGGAACCCGCCGAAAGCCAAAAATTACAAGGTGGAGTGGTGTAGTGGTTAGCACACCCGACCGGACATTGGGAGGCCCAGAGTTCAAATCCTGGCTCCGCCAATTTTTGGCTTTCGGCGGGTTCCTGAAAAACTTGGATTCTTTAATTCATTGGATTAAGTACGGTTCATTCATCTGCACATATTCGTTCATATATATATATTATATATATCTTTTTCGGATTGTTTACCACGGTATGTCGCAAAATCGAAATACCTCAAGAGAGGAGGAGGAAAGGAGGAGGGGGCATACCCTCCCCTCCTTTTCCCCAAGAGCTGCCCTCTAATTCGGCATTACAGGAAGTTGTAAATGTCATTTTTTTTTTGCCTGAACTTCTACGACCAGCCGCCAGGATCGCGAAATCCGACAACACGACACTCCGGCTTTTGCGACGTCATTTGTTGACACTCTGGGACTACTTTCCATGCACGGGTGGAGTAGGACGCTAAACGCACCAGTCAGAGATTCGTCCCAGGCATTGTAATCGGAACGCAAAACGTTTCTCCCCGTCCCACATCCAGAACGTCCAGACAATTACTTTCCTTCTTTTTGTGCGCCATTCGATCCAGCAAGTTCATTCACAAGAATTTGGTAGGGTCTCCTGTTTTCAACAAAAACAGCATTTTTTTTTTTTTTATAGATTTGTTTTAAAGGAGGCAGAGAAAGCTATGCTAAGGCAGCCTATGCAGGCGAGTTATATGGCCAGGGGACACAATGTAGACGGCTAATCGTCGCAATGAGTCGGACAATTAACTCTAAGTCGTCCACCAGTTTTCAATTGGAGAAAATAGACGTACGGTTCCGAATAGAAACATGCCGGGCGTTGTTGAAGACAACTGAATCGGTAACTTTTAGAAACACTCGGGGCGTCTGATCATTTGCGTTTTTGCATCTCACGCTCGTGGGAGGTGTGGCAGTGTGCCAACTTAGGCACACTGCCACACCTCCCGCGCGCTCCGAGCCTTCATTAAGTTTACCGAATTTACGGAAGCGATTTACAGTCGGTGGGAAGTTTAGAGTTCTGGAAAAGCTCCTCCGACCTTTCCACCTTAGCATGGCAGACACCGGAGAGGTCGCCCGCTTCTCAGCATTTGCACTGCCAAAGCGGAAAGAGGTGGAAGGAGCTTTCTCCCCTTAACCAGTCGCCGACTGCAGTAACGTCCCACGGCCAGTCACCCCGCAACTTCACCACAAATACTCACCCTGCTCTGAAGAAGGAAGCGAACGTTGACCTTTTGGCCGCCGCTGCTACGAGGCCGCTTGTTTGCGACTTCTCCGTTTTCCCGCCCTTCGTCGCTGGGCTGACGCTTGCCTCCCCTCCCTGCCAAAAAAAAATAAGAACGGTTTGGCGATTACACTGGAAACCAACGCCAGCACTCCAAGGCCACAGCTACACTGCTTGTACCTCGTACGAGAGACATGCCGTTCGCTGCAGGCATGCCGACTGAATTATCTATGGGCACGCCTCGAACAAAGGAAGTGTGCATCGTATGTGCTACGAACACGTCTGCGGACAATTCTTGTATGGCCGACAAAACCCTCAAACAAGGAACAAGAACACTTCAGACAGCACCTGCAGACTGCCTTTTGCATTAACCATTAGCCGCGTGACCGTGCAGTCTCATGTCGAAATAATCTTTGAATGGTCAGTTCGTGCTAACCTTCCAAGGTAAAGACAGTGAGTATACCAACGTCCACCTTAAAAATATCTCAAAACTCATTCTGGTGTCTGCAATGTCACTTCCGTCAAATGTGAAAATGGTTCAAAATTAACTGTTGGGCTAGTTGGCTACACATTGTATAAAAATTCAAAAGCGCAAACACCAAGGAAAAGAAGAGGGGACAGGACAGAGCGCCTCTATTATTTACAATTGAAAACGAGCGTGTTGGTTAATAGATACAAAACTTGAAAGTATAAAACAGAGAGGACGAGCCGTCCTCGTCCTCTCTGTTTTATACTTTCAAGTTTTGTCTCTATTATTTTCGCGCGTTTGTTTCGACGTCCCACAGTCCTCCGTCGGTGCAGCCATCACAATGGTGGCCGTTTCGTCTTATCAGTTTCTGATCACGTTGTCGGTGCTGCGTTGACATATTGACGGAGTCGTGTGTTGCGTGCCTAAAGAGTTTCAGCTCTGTTCCCAAATCCACGCAACTGGAGTCATCAGAGCAGTCGACATCAACATCAACAGTGCCGAGATTCATGCACAGCTAAAGGCCAACAACGATGCATCTGTTACATCTGTTCGTCGAATGGGTACGTTTACCACACTAGCTATAACTGTCTCGTCATCTCGATTCCCCGAGTATGTTCTCCTCAGTCTAGTACGTCACAAGGCAGAGCCATTTTTGGAAAAGCCGATTCAATGCCATCAATACTGTCACTTTGGGCACGTTAAGTCCACTTGCTGTAATTCTTTAACGTGTTCACGTTGCCCCGGACCACACCAGTAAAATGACTGCGACGCTGGTGCAACAACAGTTCGGTGCTGTAACTGTGGTAAAGAACATGAAGCGACAACACATCAATGTGCACAAGGGAAACATGAGTTGGAAATACGTCACCGAAGACAAGTAGCTGGGAGCACATCAACCGCTAAAGCAGCACAGGACGCAGTCACCAGTAATCTTGAACAAAACAGACCAGGCGTACCAGATCCTTAGCACGCCGAGTGAATCCATAAGCATACAAAGTCAAACACCGGTTGCACTGGCTACAATGAGCAACAGATGACAGCTACTTCTATGAAGGACAAAGCCTCGTATCAACAGGGAAACTCCATGGACGTTCCCGCCTCCCTAAATCATACTCAAGGCCAGGGGCAAATACTTCAAAGACAACCTTACAGACGTGCTGGCAGAAACATTATCAAGAACTAGTCAAGACCTGAGAAAGACCCTACCCTTTCGCCAAAAGCAACATCTGGGATGTGGTCAACCATTATCATTGTTGCAGAAAGACGCATACGAGAATATCTAATCCAGTGCACATCCCCCGCGGCTCACCTTGCCCTGCAAGCGTTGGACATTTTTTTCCCATTTTTAATTACCGTATTTACACGATTGTAAGTCGACCCCTCCACATCGCACATCACCAAAAAAATCTTTAGATGCAGTAGAATAGATAAATGGGCTAGTTGGTACATCACTGAATGGAAAGCGCCGAATAAACGAGGACGAAGGAGGGGACAGACACGAAGCACATTTTACTGCGAGCACGTGAGAACGGCAAAGTATCTGTTTCGAAAGCCGTGCCTCCAACACGCGATCGATGCCTCCTGGCGTGCTTTGGCTGCGCATGCACGTGCGAGGTGCGTGAGATGCCCAGGCGTTTTCGAAACTAGGAAGTACACGCTGGAGGGCGGGACAACTGAAGCTGCTCACTTTCGTTCTCACTCTGTCCACGGCTAGACTACGACTCGCCTGCACTGGTGATGTCAGTCCCGTCGTCATCACTGCTACGTTTTCGAAGCGCGTCGTCGGCGTCGTCCAACGAAATCTCGCACTTCGCAAATAACAGGATCAACCGCATCTTCCGCGCTTGCTCGGCGATCGCATTGTACGTCACAGGTAGCGACCGATTGCACACTTTTGCGGCGTATGTTGCAAGCCTGACTTCCAACTCCGGAACCAGACTTTGGCCTACGGAAGACTCTTTGTATGCCGTCACAGTTTAAAATCCCGCACCACTGCAGACACCACTGGAGCATCACCCGCTCCAATGGGTGATGCTCCAACATCCAACTTCCAACTTGCTTCCAACAGTGCAGTTGTTGGTTGCTTCTGAGTGAAGAATGGCCATAAACGAGCAGCGAAAACCTGAACTGGCCGGATAATGCGTGTCAATACAAAAAAAACATAGCGCTCCAGCATGATCTCGTCACTCGATCAAACGATGTGCTACCGTGAATCATGCGAAAAACGGCGAAGAGAAGCTGCAGGGTGAGTGAGCCGTGAGGCTGTTTCAGCGGCCTCCGGAGTAGCTCTTACAACAACTGCCACCACCGCCCTGGGAGTCGGGCGAGTCGTATATTCGGGTTAATTTGCGAATTGCTATCAATAATACTCGTTCGACAAATAAAAAAATAATTAATTTGTAAAACGAGCACGTAAAATAGTGCAATGCTAGAGGTACAGCCGACTGAACTCGTAACAAGCCGGGGCATTCATGATAACGCGATTGTTTTGTTTTTGCCGGTGGTGGAATGCTTTGGTTCCATAAGTCGACCCCCCCTTCAGATTTTCAAAAATTGAAAAAAGGGTCGACCTACATTCGTGTAAATACGGTAATTTAGTAAGCTAGAGTATATCAACAACTACAGCGCACTAAGATGTGCACTTCTACCATTGAAGACTCAACACTATCCCAATGGAATGCAAGAAAACTTCAGTCAAACATGTCAGATTTTCGAAAATTCCTACATTATCATCACTTCCCCATAATTGTAATTTGTGAACCAAACATTCCTAAAGACTTCAGGCTCTCAGCTAGGGTACAAGATTTTTACATCCCTGCGGTCAAATGAACCCAGTCAAGTTATGCTCGCTATATGCAAGGACCTTACATATGTCGATCATCTCATTACACCCCATACAAACAATGAATATGTATCTGCCACGGTAAGAAACGGCAAACACTCCTTGTCAGTTATAGCAGCGTACATATCACCAAGTGCAAAATTTGATGACGCGCACTTTAAAGTTGTAATGAACAACTGCTCTCCCCCTTATATTCTATGAGGCAATTTCAACGCCCCCCCATGCCATTTGAGGAGGCACTCATATAAACAATCAAGGCTAAAAAAAACATGGCGTCGGTGGTGATCGCTGATGCAGTCGGCGTGGTGGAAGCTCATCGTTCCGCATAGAGCGCCAACCTTGACTGAATTTTCGTCGTGTGTCGCGACGATAACCCCGCACGTCCTAGAAGGGAAGATCCATCTACTCGTTCGGCGATGCTGTGGCGGCACCCTCAAGACAGCAGAAACAGTGGTGCTTTCTTAGCATTTGTGTCCTCAAACATCACCCGGATTCCCTATTTTGCGCAATCTCTGCGTGTGCTCAAGTTCAAGGTATTACTGGTACGTACTGTATTTAAAGGCGTGTACGAAGGATATGTATTTTGATGCGTTTTCATCACCCAAGAAAAGTGATTAGTGTTAGCATTCCTCAACTATCGCAACGTCTATCTGATCACGAAATCATATTTCTACGTTGCTATATCTCTGCTAAGATTACATCGTCTTTTGCAAACATAGAAAAGGCGTGCGGCGAGACTTGTACTGTCAGTAGAGTAGTGTTTTAAAGGGACACTGACAGGGTATTTATGCTCGCCGAGGTTTTTAGTTGTACGTGACATATGAGAGCTCAACTACCCAGAACAGAATTTGCGGCCCGAAATTCGGTTTCTTTCCGCCCGAAAACCGCCGATCAAGAACTGGCCGGTTCGAGTCTCGCTCACTCTCTTTTCCGCGGTCACGGGCCGTTTTCTAAGGTATCGATGCGACCACCAAATTTAATCAAAGTCGTGGGTCGCTGAAAGCACACACTCAATATTAAAAATAGAAAAAAATATGAAACCCATTTTTTGTGGCTTCTAAAAAGCTGCAAATACGTTGATAGAAAAAAAAGTTCCACAGACAACCGGAAGCATTCTGTGCGTGCGTCGTTTCGCGTATCGTGGGACTCGCAGGGACGGCGATGGCAGCGGACGACGGGCGTGGGACCTCTATTTCAGAACTGTCGTTCGCGGTACCGGCGAATTTTGTCTGCCTTTAAAAGAGAAATTTGGGACTGGTCAAAAGAATTGGTATTCATCCCGTACGACAGGCCCGACCACCAAGCCGATTTGCACGAAGACGTCGCAGAGCCGTCGCTCCCTTCTTGTGGCTGAAGACATCGCTCGCGCAAACGTCAAGCGCGACGTGTCTACTTCGAGTGGAATATGCACGCGTAAGATTTCTTTACTAGGTGAGAATGTCGCCAATGCGGGGTGCATCCCGACTTCGACCCGGGAGTGCTTTTGCTAGAGGAAAATCGGCAGCAAACTTTCCACCTTACACTTTATCGGCTGAATTATTACTAAGGAAAAAGATAGCCCACTTTCGATGTGCCCCATTAGCTCAGTGGGAAAGACGTCCCCTTCGCACCCGGTAGAGCCGGGTTCGATCCCCCGTGAAACTTTTTTTTTTTTTTTTTTCTAAATATTTTTTTATGTTTACATTTCTTTTTTTTTTTTTACAATTATTACTGAAGAAACAAAAAAAAAATAAGAAACAAATGTTGTGGACGACACGTCGCTGAATTAGATGGTATGGGATTTCC